GCTCTCTTGGATTGTTGCTCTTTCTTTTCCTAGGTGTAAAGGGAAGGTTGCCCATTGGCTTCCCTACTGGCTGTTTTTCTGGCAAACTTTATGTAGAAGATCTGTGTTTTAGCGGAGTTATCATTTGGCTGGTTCTCGATATTTAAGGAGTGCACTTTGCTCTTAACTATGGGAACAGTTTGTGCTGTCAGCAGATTTTGCCACTTATAAAGTCAATTACATTTTCATTCTTTAAATTTATATTCACACCCTCATCAAGGAATTAACTATGCAGCTGCAGAGCAGATTGCGTCAGGGGTAGGGAGGGGGTAACAGTTTTTTTACACTGAAGACTTTCAATCTCTTGACTTTCAATCTCTGCTTGAAAATCTATTCTAAAGCATCACATACAACAAAGGAATTTGAGGGAATAGAAATATTTACAGGAGTCAGCTGCCTGCCTGTTAGGTAGCTGTCGACTTTGTGGAGTTGGATCTACCTGCATTGCTTCAAACCCGTGAAACAGAAATAGGACAGAATGGAAGAAAAGCTTGGGAAAATATAATCATTATTTTATTGATCTATCTATCAGTACTTCTTTTCTCTGTGACTTGAAGCAATGTCAGTGAGCTTTCATCCTTACAACACCAACTCTGGATAATTAGGTTGAAAGTTGATGAAAAAAATCACCTACCAAATTCCATGATCCAATGACTAGTTGAAACTACCTCCCTCCCCACAAGAGGAATATGATGGACAAATGAGAAGGGATATTTTGAAGTAGTTTTTTCTAACTTCATGTCTTTCAGTTGGATTGGGCTTCAGCTTCTAAAATTGGCATACTCCATCCAACATATCTGAAGCTCACTAGTGGATGGAACTGAAGCTCACATGGGTGGATGGAACAAATTAGTGCAAAGTAATGGTTAGAGCACCAGGATGAGACCAGGGGGCATCCATGGGGTAAGCAGATGACAAAGGTGTGTCTAAATGTTATTATGTAAATGACATATGAATTTACATCAGACATTATGATATCAATCATACCATTTGTGGAATGATGTCAGGACATATGCATCATCATATCATTGTTCCTTGCTACTGGTCACTGCTAAGGGTAGATTCTGTGGAACTCACTGCTGGTTGTACATAACATGCCAAGCCTAGATAACAAAACACAATTTTTGGGTTAATATGAAGTGCCCAATTAAACCAAGTTTTGATTTATTGTGATAACCTGATTCTCACAATATGCTAAGAGGCTACATTCCTACAATATTAAATATCCCAAACTATTCAACTCCCCTTTATCCTATCTAACTACTTAGCTCCCTTTTAGCCTATCTAAATGAGTTATGCCACTATTTTTGTGGAGGATATTGATGCAGATATTCTCAATTGTGGCCCCTGTAGGAGTGGTGCTTTCTGACTTTGTGTTAAGGGAGGTTTAGGGGTGATTGCCTGCTCTGCTGTATTGACCACTAGAATAGGTATGTCCTGCCACAGTGCCTCGCCCTTTATTTTCAGGCCTTTTCCCTTTTGCAATGTATTCTCTTACTCTGTCCAAACTCTCTCTCTCTCTCTCTTATTTTTCTGATGAACTTTTAAATGGTAGAAGTGGGTCCCTGTTACCCTGCTCCCCCAAGATCTAATTCACAGACCGAAGGAGCAAAGAGCCATTTTCTCCACTTTTCTTTCTGTATGCACTAAGCAATATCCACACTGTTTAGGCATTGCCATGTCTATTCCACAGGAGTGTGATTTCAACATAGAGCCAGTGTTGTTTTTTTTTGAAGATCACTGGACACGTGTCACTTTAACACCTGTCAGGTGCTCTTGGAAACTTTGTAATCATGTGTCACAAACAACCCCTTGCAGCTTTGAGCACCAAAGCCAGAAGGATATTTTAAACATGACTTCCGAAATCTACCAGAAGATTGCTGGGTCAATTTAACCTGACACCAAAAGAGCAGAGGTCAGCAATATTGTACAGAAATGCAGCATCCTTGCTGTACAACAGCCCCTCATAGCTTTGGCAGTCTTGGAAGCCTTCCAAAAGACTTGCTGACATGGTTACAGGATACAAGGCACTCATGGCTCAGGCATTGTAGCATTTAAACCCAGTGATGAAGTCATGGCAGTTTTTCTATAGAGGAGCTGCTTTGAAAGTAGGTTTCCAGCTGCTGCAATAGAGTTGGGAGCTAAGCTTTATATAGTACAGGTAGTCCTTGACTTAAAACCACAATTGAGCCCAAACTTTCCATTCCTAAGTAAGACAGTTATTAACTGAGTTTTGCCCCATTTTATAACTTTTTCCCCAACAGTTGTTAAGCGAACCACTTCAGATGTTAAGCGAATCATATGGTTGCTATGCAAATCTGGCTTCCCCCATTGACTTTGCTTGTCAGAAGCTAGCTGAGAAGGTTACAAATGGTGATCACATGATCCCAGGACAGTGCAACTGTCTTAAATATAAGCCAGTTTCCAAATGCAAATTATTGATCACATGATCATGGGGAGACTTCAATGGTCCTAAGTCTTTTTTCTATTTCAGTGCCATTCTAACTTTGGTTATTAAACAAATGTTTTTTATATCTAGGACTATCTGTATATGGCAGCTTAATGAAAACATCAGCTTGGAAAAATAAGCTAATCCCAAATTAAGATGAAATAATAAGAAAAATTATGGACTGTGCCGAAATGGATAAATTAACGAAAGAAATACAGGGAAAAGAAGAATCAGAATTTTATCGGATATGGGATAATTGGTATAGTTGGAGGAGCAAAGGAATAAAATGAAAAAATAGAATAACACTCAAAAATAATAATTATGAGTAAAACAAGGGGGTCAAGATTTGTGAATTTAAATCAGGATGATAGCTGGAAAATAGACTGTAGAATCCTAAAGAAAAAAGGAAAGGATATGAAACAAAGTTCGGTGTGTGGAAATACCATCCCCAAGAAAACATGAACTGGGATCTGAAAGAGACACCTATAACAATAGAAAAAGAAAGGAAGGGAAGAAGGAAGGAAAGGAGGGGAGGAAGGAAGTAGAGAATGGAGGGACGAAGGAAAGGAAAGAGTGGACGGTAGAAGAGAGAGGAAGAGAAGGAGAGCAAGTAGGAGTGGAAGAAGAAATGTGGAGGAGAGGTAAGGGAAGAAGAAAGAGGTAAGGGAAGGTGGGTAGAAGGGAGAGAAAAAGAAGAAGAGGAGGGACAAAGAGAAAGAAAGAGAAGGAGAGAAGGTAGGAAGGAGAAGAAAAAGGATAGGAGTAGGGAAGAGGTAAGGGAAGAAGGGGACGGAGACAAGGAGGGAAGGAAGTAGAGAAGGAAGGGAGGGAGAAAAGAAAAGAAAGAGAAAACGAGGTGGTGTCTTAGCAGGTGCGAAGGATGGTAAACAAAGCATTTTAAACTATACCTTATAACCTTCCAAATGGAATAATAATAATATAAGAATGGCAAAGAAAAAGAATAATTATGTGAATGTATATCTATAATCTGTATGTAAGAGAATAAATGACAGTAAAAATATAAAGCATAATATAGGTAAATAATATTTGGTCATAAGTAGCTAAGTTTAAATAAATAAAGAAATGTGCATAAAAATGGATAACGAATAAGGAGATTATGAATGAAAGATAGAAATGTATAGTAGGAAAAACACTAACTGCAAAGAAACCGATTCGGAACTGCGGTATGATGTACGATGGAACTTATTGTTCCTATGTTGTTTTTAAGTTATGTGTTTGTTTTTGTTGATGTGCTTATGTGTTTAAAATAATAAAATAAATAAATAATAAAAAAATAAAATACAAAAAAAAAAATTAAGTAAAAAAAATAAAAAATAATAAAACATCAGCTTAGCTCAGAAAAACAAAGGGGAAAAACCCTCATGATTACTCCATGGGGATTTTTTGGGGTAAATCAGAGGGACATGGTGGCTCAGTGGCTAAGACCCTGAGCTTGTCAATCAGGAAGGTCGGCAGTTCGGTGGTTCGAATCCCTAGTGCTGCGTAACGAAGCTCCCGTTACTTGTCCCAGCTTCTGCCAACCTAACAGTTCGAAAGCATGTAAAAAAGTAGAAAAATAGAAGCCACTGTTGGTGGGAAGGTAATAGCGTTCCATGCACCGTTGGTGTTTAGTCATGCCGGCCACATGACCACGGAGACGTCTTCGGACAGCGCTGGCTCTTTGGCTTTGAAACAGAGATGAGCCCTGCCCCCTAGAGTCAGGAATGACTAGCACATATGTGCGAGGGGAAACTTACCTAGAAGGAGAGAGAAACTGTCAGGCTTTCAACATTCCGTTATGATGTGTTATAATAGTATTCCTCAATCTGATCTACTTGAATATGTGGGCTTCAACTCCCAGAATTCCCCAGCCCAAATCTTCAAGAGGTCATGGCTGAGAAACACTGCCCTATAATTATAGTTTCAGCAGTTTATGTAGCTTGACATTCACACAGTGGAGGGGAATAATCTTTCTCCTCCTACTTCCAACATAGATAGAAGAACCCTTACTCTGTTTCACTCTCAAGGAAAAACAGGGGTCGGCCATGCAGCCAGCTGTTTTCCACCGTTAAGCAATACATATCTCCTTGAAGAGATAGTGAAGGACGTGAGGAGCAGCACGGCGGCCCATTTGCTACACGGAGCGCAAGTTCTCTTGCCCGTAGAGGGAACGGGAGTCAAGTTCAAAGAGAACTTCGACTGCCGCGGAGCTGCTTAAGAGATTTGCCTTTCCAAACATTAAGAACAATTTAAGCTGCAGCGCCAGACTCTGAGCCTGATGGGTGACTGTAGCTTAGGATATCTGCAAGCATAATTTTCTTTCATTAGTAATTTTTCTTTTAATCAAAAAGCCAACGCACTTTGCAGCACGTATAGCCTGACCAATTTGGGAACGTACTGAATATAGTCTGCAGGCGCCACCTGGCGTCGCTCTCACCGACTATCTCATAAAAAACAAAAAACAAAAAACTTTTTGCAACTTCCGGCCAGATCCCAGGGCAATTCAGTTTGAGGGTCAACGTGGCCAAGTAGTTCCTTCACCTGTTACCGTCGCCGTGATAGATCCAAGAAGCCCGAAGAAAGCTTAGAGTCCCAGTGGAAGGGGCCTTTGGTGAGTTGAAAGCGCTAGAGGAATTGGGGTTGGGATAAAACGTAATCGGGAAGCCGTGTGGGCTGTGGAAGGGGCGTGAGGACACGCGGACGTGAAACGAGATTTTTGTAATGTTTGCTTGCTTTATCTCAGCAGTTTGCATTGATTGGGTGGAATGGAGAGGGAGTTGTCTCCTAATAAATGAACCGTTATTTCAAAAATAGATGAATGGAGCGGATTTTTCATTAGTTGCACACACACACACACAAAGGAAACTTGAAAGCCCAAAGTAAAAGTGCAGAACAGGCACACCTGAGCTTAATTAAACCACTTATATTCTTATATTCACTCTGTTCTCGCGGGACTCCGGACCGTAAAATAAACATGTGACTTGAGTTCGCGCAAGACGGTAGACTAAACTGGTTGGCTGGCTAGCAGCTCCGTTTGTAGTGCGAAGGCAGCTTGACAGCCGCAAAGTATCAAAGGAGGGTTGGATTATCGTTGCACAGGGTAACTTTAAGGAGAAATTTAAATGGGATCTGCTTAACAAAGCAGGTGCGTAGCATTGCAAAGAAATATCCAGGCATATTCGCCACAACGAAAAGGATAAATAATAGAAAGAGGGGAAACAATGCAAACAGTGGGTGAAGGATTTAGGTACCTCAAAGCGATTGTTGCTGTTTGATGCACAAAATCTAAGATGCCCAAGGAGCAGGAGGTCTTGGCAGGAAAATGAAGAAAGGTTCAGAAGAAAGATTGAGGTTAGAGACAAATATATAATTTATCCCTGTACTAAAGGAAGAAATTGTGCCAAACCATATTTGGAAAGGTGGTTTTGAAGAGGGTTCGAAAGGAAATATTGCCATATGCATTTATATAATTTCTTTGTCTATATCTTTCAGTTTAAAGCTTTAGTAATGTAATGAAAACCATGTGGTACAGACAACACAACCCAGTAATAGCTATTTTTAAGATACTTTCATATAGAAAACTTTCCCCACAATGCAATCTGGAACATGTTAGGTTAAAGACAATTGTGGCCAATTCATGGCCTCAAGAAGTTCAAGAAGAATTGAGTCACTATTGAAAAGGCCCTGGATGGATATGTAACTGTTCTAAGCGTAGAATGAGATGCAATAAGCTAACCAGAGGCTCATCCCTGTGTTCTCCCTATTGTGATATAAAAGTATTTTAATATTTTTGAATAACATGTTACCGTAATCCTAGTCTAGAGGCCATTGTCAGTTCTGTTTTGATTCTGATGGTTTCCTTCTTCCAAACAAAACAAAGTATGCAAAAATCTGAGCCAATCAATTAGTTTTGAGTAAAATTTTATTGGTTGTGGAAGAAGAGATGCTCCTCCTGTCATGTAGGGGGGGGGGGAAAGATTTTTATTAAAAAAAATAACCTCCCAGAAAATGAAGGTTGCAATGTTCAACTTTGTAGCTTTATGCAGATACAATGGCCAGCTTTCACCCTTCTGTACCATCCTCCTGCGATTGCTTCGTCTCACTTCCCCCAGCCTCTGTTGCCAAAGAGGTCATTTTTGGCAAGAATTCAGATCGGCCAAAAGATGAAGTTCAGGAAGTTGTCTATTTTCCATCTGGATGTCATGTCAAAGGGACAAAGGTTCAGGTGAGTTGAAGTCAGTCATTGGAAAGAAGGTTGGTTGGAAGAGTTGTTTAGGCCTCATTGGCTCTTAAGTATAGGAATCCAAATAAAAACACAGGTTACCACCTTCTGAATAATTAGTTCATTCACCATAGATTGACATGCTTGTCAAATTTGATGCATGAAATCTCCAAGCTGAAGTAAAAATACAGCACATTCAAAGTGTGTCTCAAAGGTCCGAGGACGGACCTGGGTAGAGCTGAGGCAAGCACACTCAGGAACCTCAAGCCAACAAAAATTTTAATCAGGCCCGAGCCTCGGTACTCAATGAGTGCAATGCATGTGAACAAAGTTTTTTGCAGTCAGTGCTGGAAGCTTCTGCCTCCCAGCGCACTTTATCAGCAAGGGTCCACGCCTTCTGGCTGGCCGNCCCGTTTTGTAGCCACCATCTGGCGAATGTCCTGGGGTCTGGGAAGGAGAGGGCGGCATCTGCACATGGTGGCCAAGGAGTGGCATCCAGATCCTCTGTTGACAACAGCAAAGCTCCCCTCCGATCATCGGCAAGTTGGGCAGAATGCTCAGCTGGTGAGCGGATGGGACTGGGTTCGTCAATGGGATCAAGAAAAAAAATTATGAGATCATCCAGAGCAGTCTTTGGGAAAACACATTCCATCCTGGAAGGAAAATTACATTTAAATATAAGGATAAGGGTTGTGTCCAAAGACAGTACCCCCTCTTTCCTTGTATTTGTATATCACAGTAAGTAGCTGTTTGCTTAATTGTGTAAAAAGAGTAAAGGCATCCTCAGATTAGCACAGCTCTTTATGATATATTTTATGACATTTATGATGTTTTCTTGACCTTAGAGAAGTTTGTAATTTCATTTTTCCAAGTGAGACTTTGACTTTCACGTTGTGGTAAATCAGGCTTGGCGATAGAGCAAGAATTAAACCTCTGGAGTTCTGATGTCTTTCACCACAGTGTACATATCTTGAAGTGGACCAGGTAGAAAAGACACACGCAGTGATCCTAAGTCGCCCTGCCTGGCTGTGGGGAGCTGAGATGGGTGCCAATGAACATGGTGTCTGCATTGGCAATGAAGGTGTGTGGAGTCGAGAGCCAGTTGGGGAGGAGGAAGCCTTGCTGGGCATGGATCTTGTCAGGTAGGAAACAATATAATGTGTTGTGTAACTTGTACAACCCACACCCAACACCTGCATATTCTCTCCCTCTCTATAACTCTGACATTTAGGTCTTTGCCACAATGCTGCATCATCACTGAACATTATGTAATAATGTTGCCTTTGCTTCTGGCTTCCTATCAAGTCAACATCAGAACTCGTACTGCTTTATTATTGATCTGATAGGAAGACGGGCTCAGGCAAAGACCACATTCATACATTAACCATGATGTCTGAATAAAGACTTTGAACTGTAAGTTCAGAAGTTTGTATTTCAGGGTTAATTTCCCATCTTTGCTTCCCCTTCAGGCAAATTATTTATTTCCTGGTCTTGCCATTTGGCCTCTCAGTAGAATACCTATTTTTAACTAGCTGCATCCTCTTAACAGCCATACTGTGAAATTTTCTCAAAATTTGAAATGTGTGCACTACCCCTAAAAGATTTTAGGGAGTGGCAGGCTAGCAGTGAAGTATATTCCTGCATACTGCAAAGTATATGTCTTTTGCTTCCTTAAGAACTGAGATTTTTTTCAAAGCGTCAGGAAGAGACTATAACATTTGGCTGATTCCTTCCTTTCTCTAAATTTGATTTTAAAATATATGAATTTTCTTTAACTTAATGCCCAGCACAAGAATCTCCATGTCTTTCTGGATTGAGAGGTTTTGTTTGACATCACTCACGCTTTAGTCATCCCCCGATTGGACTGTTACAACATTTCCTCAAAGACCACCTTGAAGCTGCACTTAGCCCAAAATGCAGGGTGTAAATAGTTGTGAATGCAGTTGAGTATATCCATGTAATATCACTATTTGTCAGCTGCTTGCTGCAAGTTTCCAGGAGAAATTCAAGGTGTGGAGTTTCATCTATAAAACTTACATGGCACAAAACCAGGTTATTTGCAGTGTTGCCTTTCTCCAATTATTTTTGCTTGTCTGGACTGACACCATCCCACATATTTAATAGGATAGGCACACTTCAGGTCCTTTTCTTGAAGCAATGTCACCTGATGAGGAGGTGTTTCTTTTCTTTTTTTTTCTGAAATGATCTTCCCAACTTGTTAGCTTTTAGAAAAGCCAGGATGATAGGTGTGGTGTATATAGAGAAGTCCTAATCATCAAGGGTGGTTGTGATTATGATGTTGATATTTTTATCCCATCTTTTATATACATACATACATACATACTCAGAACAATGACATGCCTAATCAGGTAGTCCTCGACTTACAACCATTTGTTCCGTGACCTTCAAAGCAGAAATGGTGTTCAGCAGGTTCTGACCAGTTCTGGAGTTGTCCTGAGTACCGGTAAATACAATCTCTGAGCGGCCCCGCCCCATCTATCCTCTGCCTCCCGAGTCCTAGCTGATTGGGAAGGAATGGGGATTTTGCAGTAACCTTCCCCTGGGATGGAGAGAGAATGGTGATTTTACAGTATCCTTCTCTTGCCACGCCCACCAAGCCACGCCCACAGAACCGGTAGTAAAACATTTTGAATCCTGCCACTGATTCAAAGTTACAACAGCACTGAAAAAAGTGAGTTATGACCATTTTTCATATTTAAAAACATTGTAGCATCCCCATGGTTATGTGATCAAAATTTGAATGCTTGGCAACTGGCATATATTTATGATAGTTGTGGTGTCCCAGAATCATGTGATCACTTTTTGCAACCTTATGACAAAGCCAGATTTACTTAAGAACCATGTTACTAACTTAATTGCAGTGATTTCCTTAACGGTTTGGCAAGATAGGTCATAAAATGGGGCAAACTCACTTAACTGTCTTGTTTAGCAACAGAAATTTTGAGCTCAATTATGGATCATAAGTCGAGGACTACTTGTACTCCTGCCTCCTGTTTTCCTCAACAACTTTGTGACATTAATTGGGCTGAGAAAAAGTGACCTGCCCAAAGTCATCTAGCCAGCTTTCAGGCCTAAGGAAGTTTACAACTCAGAGTCTTCTGATTTCTATATTTTAATATTTTAATTAAAAATTGTAGTTACAATAATAAAAAATTATACAAACTAAAAAGAGTAAAAAAAAAAGTGCAAGAAAGAAAAAAAGGGAAGGAAAACCTCAAGAAAGCGACTTACTATTCTCATCAGGTCAAATGTAAGCAATTTTACTATCTCTCCATTTTAGTTAACAGATATAAAAGTCTTCATCCCATAACTATAGGCCGGTCAAATTACATTATCTTTTCCAAACTGGATATCAGCAAAATCTAAAAGAGACCTTTGAAATAATCACATTATTGAACAAATATAAAACTCAGCATTCCATACTTTTAACTGTAAGCAAATCCAATATCCAACATCTTTATCAATTTAGACGTCAGAAATCCAGAAAGAATCCCCCCCAAAATTACCATGTCCTATTTTAACTCTCATCAAATAAAACAACTTTATGTTCCTTCCTTTTTCATAAAATGAATCTATTCAAATAATTATTTACCTTTGTCTTGAATTCCTTCAAAACTTTTACAAACCCCTTTAAGAAGTCCAGCAAGCAAGACATTCAAATTACTCTGTTGAATTCGCATTTTTATTTTCCTTCTTAATTTTTTTCATTCAATTTTTTTCTATAGCCAATGAAAGATTCTTGTTTACTTTGTACTTCATAATTATTCAGATAAGTTTTTTACCAAATATTTTTACATAATAGCATCTACTAGTTAGTTCTGGGAACAGGGTATCATAAAACACACAACATATTGATATGTAGGAGTCAGATCGAAGTCCTTCACAATTCCTCCAAAAAGTCTCAAGTGCCATTATAGGTTGTTTTATCTTATTATGTCTCCAATATTGAAAATATTGCATTTATTCTTTAAAATTGATTTCAAAGGATTATTAAGTATTGGAGCACTCAGTATTTCCAGGCTTGTCGTTTTGATGGTGCTTAGGTTTTTTAAAGCAGTTAATTGGGCACTTTCCAAAGATGGTTAGCAAAGGAAATGAACATTTAGTGTCCTTTGCAGTCTCCTCATGAGAAGTAAATATATAGAGTCCTTTCCCTTCCCTTCCCTTTCTCCTCTACTCCCTTCTCCTCCCCTCCCCTGAGGGTTGAAAATATCGATCTACACATTGCTTATTCTTAGCTGCAGTTGTCAGTTCTGTCAGCCTTTTGCAGACCTGTCTTCTGTCTGCCACTTCCAACAATTTCCAGGTTTGTAAGCCAGCACCTTAATCACTACACTAAGCCAGCTGTCCACTAATTATTATGATTTTAATTGTAACTATAATTGTTCAGAATGCATCAATTTGTACCCATACACATTTCCTTAATTAATTTTAATTTAATTTAATTGATTTCAGACTAGCCACTAGCCAAACGTAACTGAACCAAACTTCTGAACCAAAGTAGAAACTGCTCTGATTTGTACTCAGATGAAAGGCCACTAAGAAATCCGAATGCTGTAGGCTGAAGGAATTTTTTTTTTTAAATCAAGAAACAAGGCGGAGCAAATTTGACAAATCCTGGGGCTGTTCATGAGGTCATGAACAGCTAATTCCAATTTGAAGAAGTCTCTAGTCTGACTAAATCCACATGGGTTTTGGAAGGTATTTTAAGATATGGTGGGTTGCTACAGAATGCAGGGAAATCTCTAGTCCTCAACAATGGAAACTAAGAAAAGATTAAAATACTGTTTCTGTCTTAATTTATTGACCAAATTTATATCCCACTGACATTCTATCCTGATCCTATCTTCCTCCTTCAACCCCCCAAAAGATCCTTTATCATATATATTGAAATAATAGATTACTTTTTAGAAATAACAATTAATACATTAATTAAGTAGTTGGTAAACACACTTGAAATGTTAATAGCAATGACGACTATATTTCAGATTGGGTCTGGAGAGGGGCAGTAGTGCCAGTGAAGCAGTCCGTGTCATAACAGCTCTTCTGGAAAGCTATGGTCAAGGAGGCAGCTGCAAGGAAGAGCCAACTCCTTTTGTCTATCATAATACCTTTCTCCTGGCGGATCGCAAGGAAGCCTGGGTGTTGGAAACAGCAGGACGGTTTTGGGTGGCTCAGAGGATCCAAGGTGGGCATTTGGTTTACTTGTTTTTTTTAAATAATGTACTATGACATATTAGAAGGGTGCAAAGGATTTTGAGTTTAAAATACAATATTTCAATATCATCAGACGTATCCTAATTTTGTCCTAAGTTTGCTAGTAGTAGTGATCTGAATGCCAAACAGCTCCATTTCAAGTTGCTTTAACCTTGAATTATAGCTGTTTTAAGCATAGAACATTTCCAGTAAGGTTAGAAAGCAGAGATGTGCAAACCCTCGACCGGATTGCGCCACTACGGCCCCTCCGAGGCGGCGGATCCCGGAGACCTCCTTGGTTTACCGAGGAACTCCGGGAGATGAAGTGCCGGAGGAGACGCCTAGAGCACCTATGGAGGTCCGATAAGTCCGAATCGAACCGAGCAATGGTAACCACCTGCACCAAGGAATACACCAGGGCTCTTAGGGCAGCGAAAAGATCTTATATAGCCACCTTGGTTGCGTCCGCTGAGTCCCGCCCAGCCGCCCTGTTTAGGATAACCCGCTCCCTACTGAATAGGAGGGAAACGGGGGAACCCCTGCAGGGCAGAGCTGAGGATTATGCCCAATTCTTAGTGGACAAAATTGCTCGGTTTCGGTCGGACTTGGACTCCATCTCTGCAGTTCCAGCCGAGGCACAAGAGGATGAAGTAGACCATCTCTGGGTTGAGTTTCAGGATGTTGCCCCTGGGATGTGGACAAGGCCATGAGGGCTGTAAGTGCCTCCACCTGTGTACTGGACCCGTGTCCCTCATGGCTGGTTACTAACAGCAGTGAGGTGACACGAGGCTGGATCCAGGCGGTTGTTACCGCCTCTCTTCGGGAGGGGAACTTCCCCGCCGCGCTAAAAGCGGCGGTGGTGAGACCCCTCCTGAAGAAGCCATCCTTGGATCCAGCTATTCTTAATAACTATCGCCCAGTCTCCAACCTTCCCTTTCTTGGGAAGGTTGTTGAGAAGGTGGTGGCCTTCCAGCTCCAGCGGTCCTTGGAGGAAGCAAACTATCTCGACCCCTTCCAGTCAGGCTTCAGACCCGGTTACAGCACAGAAACCGCTTTGGTCGCATTGACCGATGATCTTTGGAGAGCCAGAGATGGAGGACATTCCTCCATCCTGGTTCTCCTTGACCTCTCAGCGGCTTTCGATACCATCAACCATGGTATCCTTCTGCGACGACTGCAGGAGGTGGGAGTGGGAGGCACTGTGCTGCGGTGGTTCTCCTCCTACCTCTCGGACAGGTCGCAGTCGGTGTTAGTGGGGGGGCAGAGATCGACCCTAGGCCCCTAAAATATGGGGTGCCTCAGGGTTCGGTCTTATCCCCCCTACTATTCAACATCTACATGAAACCGCTGGGAGAGATCATTCGCAGGCACGGGATAAGATACTATCAATATGCGGACGATACCCAGTTGTATCTGTCCGCCCCGTGCCAACTCAATGAAGCGGCGGACGTGATGAGACGAGGCCTTGAAGCCGTTATGGACTGGATGAGGGCTAACAAGCTTGTACTCAACCTGGAAAAGACTGAGTGGCTGTTGTGTTTCCCTCCCAACAATTCGACCAATATTCCATCACTCAGGCTGGGGGGTCAAATTCTATACCCCTCAGAGAGGGTTCGCAACTTGGGAGTCCTCCTGGACCCACAGCTATCCTTTGATCACCACCTGACGGCTGTGACCAGGGGGGCATTTGCCCAGGTTCGCCTGGTGCGCCAGTTGCGACCCTACCTGAATCGGGAGGCTCTCACAACAGTCACTCGGGCCCTTGTGACCTCTAGGCTGGAATACTGCAATGTGCTCTACATGGGGCTGCCCTTGAAGAGCATCCGGCGACTTCAGCTAGTCCAGAACGCGGCCACGCGAGTGATCGTGGGTGCACCTCGGTTCACCCACATAACACCTATCCTCCGCGAGCTGCGCTGGCTACCTGTGGATCTCCGGGTGCGCTTCAAGGTGCTACTAGTCACCCACAAAGCCCTTCATGGTAGTGGATCTGCGTACTTGAGAGACCGCCTTCTGCCAATTACCTCCCTGTGACCAATTAGATCTCACAGATTGGGCCTCCTCCGAATTCCATCTGCCAGCCAGTGCCGGCTGGCAACTACAAGGAGGAGAGCCTTTTCTGTAGTAGCTCCAACCCTTTGGAACGAGCTCCCCGTGGAGATTCGTACTCTCACCACCGTCCAGGCCTTCCGCATAGCCCTTAAGACCTGGCTAGCCCGTCAGGCCTGGGGACAAAGATAATCGCCCCTCCCGAATGATGAATGAATGCTGCACATTATTTTACTCTATGTTTGTCTACGTCATTGTTTGTATTTCCCTCCCCTGATCCTATGTAAGCCGCCCTGAGTCCCCTCAGGGAAAAGGGCGGCCTATAAATTGTAATAAACCTTAAACCTTAAACCCCATCCACCACTTTATTTGACCTGAAACAAATATAAATTTAATAACGATATCAAAGAAAAACTATTTTGACTCTGAACTTCTTGCTTATGTGAGAGAAAGTTCCACTTCATATGGTAGCCTTATTTCTAAGTAGCCATGCATAAATTTAGTTTGTAAAATTTTTGCCTGCTCTTTGCCAAAACAGGCTTTTTCAGCTGTAATTTGACATTCATTTCCCAGGTTAAAAAGTTCTTCCTGGGCCAGGGGGCTTTTTAAATCCTCAGCAAGCTGGTTGAAAATTGAGAATCATGCAGAAGTTTATGCAGTCCCAGAACTCAATCTGACAGAATAACAAACATTCCTCAATATAATTGCCAAATTTGTACTGTGACTTCCTGCATTTCAAGAAGGAAAATTATTAAAGATTTAAAACTTGAGGGAAAATCCAAATACCCAGAGAGACGAAAACAAAAAATTCTTCTTTTCCCATATATGAGATGGGAAAATCTATTTATTTCTTATACTTGTTCTACTTTGATCTCCTCCAAGGTGTGCTTCTGTATGCCACCAGCAAAATGTTAACCTCAGTTGAAAACATGTTTGTAAGACCTTCCTGGCAAGCTACTATAAAGATAAATTAAGATCCCTGTCTCTCCATCAGTCACTTCCTCCTTTGATTATAAAGGATGCCGTATGTTGGATCTTCCCCGGAAGATTCCAAAATTTTGTAAGAATGCTCTTTTAAGAATTAGCATTGATTGATTTAGAGCCTTCATTAATATTTTTTTGCTCTCTTTTGGCCTTTCTGCTACTTGAACTTGAGATTTCAATGTGGATTTCTGGTAGAATATAAGAGAAAATAACTCTAACTATCCATCTAAGCTGCTTAGACATTTCTTCAGGCTTAAGTCAAATTGTTACTGGAGTCCAGCTCTCATTAGTTTTGCAGATTGCTGATCTGGAAGATCGGGGAATTGCATTTTTAGGTAATTCTTGACCTATGATCATTTGTTTAAAAGTTTGAAGTCACAATGGCCTCAGAAAAAGTGATTTACAATCTGATCTCAAAATTACGACTGTCAGATCCCATCTTCTATGGTCACTTGGTCGCAATTTGTGTGTTTGACAATCCATCCACATTTGCAAGGATGCAGTCATGCGATTTTCAACCTTCCCACCAGGGTGTAGTGGAAGGTAGTCCAGATTCCCAGATGGGAGGGGCTGCATTCCAGAGGAGCAAGAGACAGTAAAGTTTAGATCACAGGTATTAAATTTGCCATGTCATGTTGCCATCATGTGACGTTTTGCAACATTTTCCCAATTTACTGAGCTGGGGTGGGCGTGGCCTAAGCATGATGCATCCAATCCGCAGGCCACAGTTTGACACCCCTGGTTTTCATGGGAGGAGGAGGGTCAAAACAGCTCCTCCCTAGAAATTTTCAGGGAGATCTTTAATGATGCAAGTACCATGCTTTAATTTGGCAAGATTTCTGTCTATAGTTGAGGAACAGTAAAAGGAAACTGCTTATAAGAAACTCAGCATGCCTTTCTTGATTTTTGAAACTTGATGCTGGGTTCTGACAAGCAAAATCAATTGGGGAAACCTAGTTTGTTTAATGACCATAGTACACATGTAAAATTAGGTCTGGTCATGTAATGCCTCACTCAACAACTGCATCACATAGCAACTGGAATTCCAGTCCCAATTGTGGTTGTAAGTTGAAGACTAAATGTATTCCAAGTGAGGCTACTGACAAGTGCATAATGGCAACTATGCCATGGAGCCCTAGTGGTGTAGTGGTTAAAGATCAGTATTGCAGGGTGACTCTGCCCACAGCCTGGAGTTCGATCCTGACAGGGCTCAAAGTTGACTCAGCCTTCCATCCTTCCATGGTCATAAAATGAGAACTCATATTGTTGGGGGCAATATGCAAATAAGGCATATATTGTACACCAGCCAGACAGTGCTGTAAAGCACTATGGGGCAGTATGTAAGCCTAAATGCTAAATTCTATTGCTATCATCTAAACCAGCTTAACTAATGAAGTAATTTAAGCATATTTTAAAGAGTTATTTATTCTTTCTTCCCAATACTTATAAAACTTCAGATGTCAGATATCCACTGTAGAAGAGGTATTTCTAGCTATCAGAGAGCTGTGGTGGCGCAGTGATTAGAATACAGTTTGCAAGCTAATTCTGCTGATTGCTAGCAGTTCGATTCTCACTAGCTCAAGGTTGATTCACCCTTTCATCCTTCCGAGGTCTGTAAAATGAGGACGATTGTTGGGGAAAATATGCTGACTCTGTAAGCCTCTTAGAGAGGGCTGTAAAGCACCATAGTGGTGGTATATGTGTTATTTCTATTTCTTCTGTGTGAGATGAGTGGGAAAGGGAATGCCTTTTCTAAAAAAGACTACCTGAACTTATCGTATAAAAAAAGACTGTGCCAGCAATAGAGCAAATTCTAATAATTTAGTAAACAGTATTATCTTTCCTCCAACTACACAGAAGGTGCCCGGAACATTTCAAATCAGTTAACTATTGGTACTGACATTACCAGTGAACATAAGAGTCTGAGACAACATGCTCAAGAGCAAGGATGGTGGAATGGTCAAGGAGAGTTCAATTTCACAGAAGTGTTTTCACTCATCCATCAGCCTGTCCGCATGGAGGCAGCCAAAGCTCGGTATTGTGCTGGCCAGAAACTGTTGCATCAACACTCAGGTGGGCTTTCAGAATATATGAAGAGAAGGATATTGGAGGTCAAATTCATATGGAAATGGGGATCTGAAGGAATGGTGTCCTGCTACTTAGGGATTACTTCAAGCAACCTTTCCTAAGCTTGTCCTTCAATGCTTCAACTCCTAGAATGCTGATTGAATCAGTCTAGGTGGTTCAAAGGCAGCTTCTATTACTCTCTATGTGTGTGAAATTTCAATCCAAAGAATTCCCAGCATAACCAATTCTGGGAATTGAAGTCCAATACATCTGATGGACACCATATTCATAGAAAGGTGCCTTAGCAACACATTATTCACTCAATCCCAGTTCAGCAAAATATTGGAATAGTGCAGAGCATTTTTTTCTAATTTGTACCTTCCAGCTTCCATTTTCAATATTGGCTACTGTGAATGGTAATCCTGGGAGTTGAAGTCATTCCTGTTTGGACATCATTTGAAGTCCATTGCAGTTGGAGGAGGTGTTTTTGCAAATAATATCCTACCCATCTCAGCTGTCTGCTTTCTTCAATGTCTCCATGAATTGTTCTCCAAATTTACCATGGTGCTTTTACAAGTGGCACCTTCTTTTCAGGGTATCTATGAATTCTAACAAATGTAAAAAATATTTTAAAAGTTAAAATGATGGGACAATTGATGTTCTTTTTCCTTTGGTTTTCATGTAAACATTCTTTATTATTGTAGGACAAATTACTGCTGAGACAATTATGTCCATTTTAAGTGACAAAGCCAGTGGGATCTGTGTTGATTCTGAAGGTTTCTGTACTACAGGAAGTATGGTATCCATCCTCCCTCAAGATCCGCTTCTTCCTTGTGTCCATTTTTTCACTGCCACCCCGGACCCTTCTAGGTGAGCAGCAGTTTTGTCTAAAGAGTCTTCAATGCACACATAGGGCAAAGCCAGACTTTCCTCCCATTCACAAGATATAAAACAGTAAGCCACCATAAATTATGTTGCCGTTATTGCAGATTAATCTTCTGTCTTGGTAGGAAAGCTAACAACTGAGGCTTTTCCTTCTGTTTTAATGTGGTGCAAATTAAGGAAAGTGATTGGTGGATTCTGCAGCCTTTGTTCCCTCATGTCACGAGCTAGTCCTCCTCTTTAACATGGGGTAAAGCTAGAGATGGGTGAGCATAGCCATGTACTTAGAATAGCTAGTGTTGCCGTTAGTCGATTTGCCCAACTTAGAGATTGTAGGCATGGAGATGTTCTCTACCTGTTGTTTATCTGGCTATTTGTAATGTTAGGCTTAGACTTTTCTGAATGAGCATTATGTCTGTGTCCAAAAATAGCGGGCTGGTTGACAGATTTCACTCATGAACACCAGATGTGGCAGGAATAAGCAGCACTTTATTAATAGAGGCAGCCAAAATCCTATAATGAACTCATTGGTAACAAAACCAGCAATGCATAGCTAGATTTTGTTTTGATATTGTATTTTTTGTATTTTTTTTACCCCAGTTTATATTATTGTTCTAGGCAGCACAGGACTTGTATTCTCTCTTAAGAGAGCTATCCCTCCATTTTTTTTAAATCCATATTTTAAAAACAGTTGTTAATAGTGCTAAACCTGTGTATATGATGAGATTTATAAAGCCCAGCAACTCTTTTGGAAAGTGCTTGTCAGAAAATACATAGGCAAATCCTGTTATCCATAGAAGGCAGTGCCCTAAAACTGGAGAGGGCAAAAGTTATTTCTCCAATAACTTGAAGTGGCCAGAAGAAGGTAGGCAGATCCCACTCTCCTATCAGGAATCACACTGTCAATGAAATGTGCAAAATTTTGCCAGGAGACGAGGAGAATGCTACTTTATAATTGGGACATTTATCTGTCTCCATGGTGGGCTCAAGATGACACAATGTCAGCATATTATATAAAATGAGTTATTGGGACATGTTTGTGACTTTCTTAATGTCAGTCATCTCATAGCAATTAGGACTGGAAGCAATGCATCTAAGAAATGAATATCTCTGAGCTCAGATTTGTAAGATTTCTTAGGGAAAAAATGTGACATCACATGAACTTGAGCAAGTATTTTTACTTTCAAATGAGACATATTTCCAAAGGAAATTTAAAGCAGCTAGTGTCTGATTTTCTTTCTTGTGATGTTTTGATGCAGTGAAAAGATGCTGGCTTCTTTTGATGCACCTGTGGATTGTTTTGAAATGTTTGTTAACCTTCTTATCACTGTGTAAAACAGTTTTCCCAGCAAGATGAGAACGAACCTCTTGCCAACCTCAACTTTTCAGAACGCTCCCCTTGAAGTTTCAATAGATGCAAAATATATCTGAACACATTTGAACGGCATGTTCTTCATTATTTCTGGCTGCATTTGAAAGGAATCAGGCATATGTAGGAGCAGATGCTCTCTATCATTTCTAGCCTGAAGCCATTTTTCTGTACTTCAGATTGCATGCTACATATGTGTGAAAAAGAGAAATATTTCATGTGAAGTTTGGGTTACATAACTCTAGTCATACACTGTAATCCAAGGACTGGCTGGATTGTATTGCTGTTTTAGTCTTTCCCTCCTATTCTTGCTCCCTGTTCGTGCTTTAGAGATTTTAAAATTTTAAATTAATAGGAGAGCCTGATTTTTAAATATTACACTAATGGCTTCCGTTTTCTCTTCTTGGCAGGTCTATCTTCAAACCATTTGTCTTTGTTCCCAATATTACTCCCTTTCCTCAGGTGAAGTCACCATGTTTTGGTGAAAAAGACCCCATTAGGGAGACTCCAAGATTTCAAAGTCAAGTGGACCGTCGACACAATCTCTACAAGGAACATCAGCTAGCCTTGGAAGTCACGGATTGTAATCAGGTGAACTTCCACTTATTTCATGCAGCCCTCACAGCTTTAAACTGTTAGGCTTTACCTCTCCTAGAAGGCACTATGGATGGAATTGGCAGGGATTCAAATGTTAGCTAGAAAGAAAAGGTAAGAGCTGATGGATTGTGTAACAGGGCCACAGAATGCTCCTCTGTTGGGAGCAATAGCCAATACATAGAGACAAAGCCGAGGTGGCACAGTGGTTAGGGTGCAATACTGCAGGCCACTTCAGCTGACTGTTATCTGCAGTTCAGCGGTTCTAATCTCACCGGCTCAAGGTTGACTCAGCCTTCCATCCTTCCGAGGTGGGTGAAATGAGGACCCAGACTGTGGAGGCGATATGCTGACTCTGTAAACCGCTTAGAGAGGGCTGAAAGCCCTATGAAGCGGTATATAAGTCTAACTGCTTATCGCTATTGCTATTCTGGCCCTGGTTAGCATAATTTGCTAGCTGTGCCTCTATCTCATTGTCCATTTGCAGCTGAAGTTGCCCTTAAATGGCTTTAGGCATTACTGAGAAACTTAAAAGGAACCATCTCTAAAATTGCACTATTTTTTTTCTTAAATACCTAAAAGAAACCTAAATGTTTCTATCAGGAAGTAGCATCAGCTAAACCAGATCAGAAAGAGCTAAGTAAGTTTTTTTCCCTCTTGGTAAAGTTCTGAACATTAGACCTGCAGTAAGGAATACATGAGCAACTTAGAAGTAGAGATGATGATGAATTAAAGTAAGTCTTGTACTTTGCCTAGTATTGCTTTTCCATATATTGTCTATTATTTTTAGTTTGTTCACCTTCCATTCTGTTTTACTTGAAATTTTAAATTAGTATGGGTGAGGATTTGGCCCCACTCCCTGTAGCACACTGCAATCTCCTAGCATTTCTTGCCAGCTTTTGGGTTTGCTTTTGGAGTTCATCTGCTCCAATTTTCATCAGGCAAAGCAATGCTGTAATTAAAAACAGCATCTTAAAAGTCTCTGTTCATATACCATCCTTTCTCCTTCATTCCCAGCTTGAACAGCAGAAACTGCAGGATGCTATGAAAACATTTCAACAGCAAGTTCTGGAAAGTGTGAAAAATGTGTCAACAAGCTCTGTCACTGTGAAACCCCAGGAACTGGCTGGACTCTTTTGCAATTCTGTAGATGCAGAACTCAAACTGTATAGGTGATGTAGACTTAATGGCCAGGTGGGTTGAGGCTTAATCCTTGTGATACTGACAGATTGTCTGAATTTTTCTTCTTTTTAGGGTTTCTATAAATGGTTCTGAGCCAATCTAACAACAGATTATGATCTCTGAGTGTCATGTTAGTAGTAGTGAAGAGCTGAATCTATTTCTTTACTTAGTTGTTTTATAGATAAAATTGGAGCAAAGCTAAGGTTTCTTGATTTTCTGAATTTGTTTCCTTTGCTGAAAGGAATATTTGTTTTCAGATGACTCTCAGATCTTGAGCTTTAGCTGACTTCTATTCCTATTCTCAGCATTTCAAATAAACTTATATTTATTTACATTTATTTAAACATACTATGTTTATGTTTAGCCCTAACTCAAAGGTATTTCATTTATAAACAAGATAAAAAGCACCAGCCCCAACATAAATCCTTGAAGAACTTCACCTCCCATTTATTCCTACTCATTTCTTTCTGCCTTTAGTTTGCAGTCCATAAAAGGACAGATCCTCTTACTCCACATCTGCTAAATGTACTCAAGCTTTTCATAAGTGTTGTTGACACTGTCAACTTTACAAGGTTTGTAAAACAGGTTTTATCTGTGGAATCTCTGCAGATTTTCCTTCAGCAAATTTTTTTCTGCATGTCAAATTATTTATTGCTTAATTGTTTTTTTTTTAATTACATGTCTACCAATTTGCCTGGAACAGATGTTACATGACAAACATATAATTTATGGGATCTCCCTGGGTTCCTTTTAAAGATTAGTATCACCTTTGATTACCTTCCAGTCCTTTGACCATGTGGTTGATTTAAGGAAAAAGTTACTTATTGCCTTTATGTTGCTGGGGGATGGAAGAATGAAAACTATAATGCAGTGGTGAAATTCATTTTTTTATTACTGGTTCTGTGGGCATGGCTTGCTGGGTGTGGCAGGGGAAGGAAACTGCAAAATCTCCATTTCCACCCTACTCGGGTCAGTCAGAAGTGGTATTTGCCAGTTCTCTGAACCGCTCAAAATTTCTGCTACCGGTTCTCCAGAGCCTGCCAGAACTTGCTGGATTTCACCCCTGCTATAATGGTAACACTCTTAGATTGCAATTATGTACTAAGTTCTGGAAATTACAGCCATTGGCATGAGTACAAGATTTCTGTCTGGTGAGATGGGTTTTAACCATTTGGTAATTTTAAGAATACTTTTATTGCAACATAAGTTTTTTGTTTTTTTTTACAAAGTAGTGGTGATTTTTTTGTATACTCATTTTGGGCTTGTGTTGTAATTAAAAAGTGGGTTGAGGGAGGAAAAATTAAAAGAGATATAACTAAAAATAGAACATCTCTGCAGATAAACCTATAGAAGCATTTAGCTCTATTTATGTAACACTTCCTTGGGGTTTGTCCACTAAACTGAAGTAGCCTTTTGAATTCCTATGAATAATCTGCATGACATCTGGGGACTTGTAAATATCAAGGACAGGAGTAGCATTTACAGTATCAGTTTTGGGAGGCTAAGATTATTGGAATCTTTAAGAGACAAACAGAGGAATGATATCATATGCATTACGATATAAATGTGTACATTAGAATTATTTATGTCTTATGTGTAATGACATCAAAATGCATGTGATGTCACTATAGCTCTTAACAGCTAATGCTGCAGGAGATGGGATCATGTTGCAAAGGAATAGGACTAGGGAGAAACCTGAAATCCCCTTTTAAATAAATCAAAGGTGTGCCCCCCCCCTTCCCCGCAAATGGCTATTCATTAAATGTCAAAATAATGTTTTGGTGTTATTTTCACATACATGTTAATTATAATATATATTAAACCACAATGAAGGGACACGGTGGCTAAGATGCTGAGCTTATCGATCAAAAAGGTTTGTCGGTTTGAATCCCTTGTGCCTCATAACAGAGTGAGCTCCCGTTACTTATCCCAGCTTATGCCAACTGAGCAGTTTGAAAGCATGTAAAAATGCAAGTAGAAAAATAGGAACCACCTTTGATGTGAAGGTAACAATGTTCCATGCGCCTTCGGCATTTAGTCATGCCAGCCACACTACCACAGAGATGTCTTTGGACAGCACTGGCTCTTCAGCTTTGAAATGAGATGAACATTACCCCCTAGAGTCAGGAACTACTAGCATATATGTGCGAGGGGAACATTTACCTTTACCTAAACCACAATGATCACATAACATTTATGCCAAAATGAATCAAAATGCTCTATTAGCACAGTACGCTACTATATATGGCTTTCTACAGGATTAATCTATGGTGTGTATTCAATAAACTATTATAAAGAAATCCTAATTTAGCTATAAATGTGAAATAGCTTAGAACTGCAAAGAAACAAAAGTGTTCCTGAAAAGAAACTTTGGTGTGACTTTCTCAATAAAAATATATAATCTCGTACCAGACATTTCAGGTTAAATGCAGAGATTTTATGGCTATCTGTATAGATGCACTATAATTTGCCTCTAAAATGCAAACATTTGGGTTCAGATATATGTAAATAATTTTAGTTCCTAACCAAGTTTTACTAGTAGATTTAGAATTGCCTAAGAAAGATTTCTAGGTGCAATTTTATAATTCATTATTTTTCTTGGGGCCTTTTGATGTTTCAAAGATAAATTAGTATTTATCATTGTACCAATATTAAGAAGCAAAGAGAAGCTCATTATATTTTACTAGAAAGAAAATTTCAGAGGGATGAGTATACCTGCTATTAATTTCCCTGCCTCCCTTTTTTCTCAGTAGAAGTGTTTCTGCAAGTTACTGTGTAGACCACACATTTTTTTTAGTTTTCTGACTGGCAACCCCTACCTCCTCTAACAGATCAGAATATCTTGTTTTTAAAAAAATAATAGACAGTGCTTCACAAATGAAAGGGAGTATATTTGTTTGCTTAAATAAAGGAATTACATAAGTAAAATAATGTTTCAACAAAATATCATTTTTTTATGTTCTTGTTTGCAGTTTTAGCTGCACTAGATACTTTTCCTTTTGCTATTTTCTGCTGGGTCTGAATCGCTCCTTCATTTTTTTCTTTTGGAATATTCAATCCTGCATCAACTGTTGGATTCTCTGTTCTTTGTGGTGGATTCAAAACCAAATGGTTCGCAGTTTGAGGTAGATCATTTAGAACTGGAGATGTTGATTCTAGTAAACTTAGGGGTTCAGTTCTACTTTCACTGGTGTTGAACACAAGCTGTCTCAGATTCTGTCGTTGCCTCAGCTCTTCCAGACGGACTTCATGTTCCCTCATTGCTGTCTCTCTCCGCCGGGTTGAGCGGCTACTGAATTCATTATGGAGATCAACAAAAAAGTCTAGCAAAAAAGAGAATTAGGATAAAGTTGCAATCGCCATAATCCATTCATTAAAAAATTATCTAGCTGTTTTTAGCAAATTTGCATAGAACTTGCAGAATTGGGGGGGGGTTGCAAATTACTTTTGTTAGTATGGATACAAGTGGGTCAGGCTCAAGGTATAGATTGAGCTAAAAGCTAAAAGTACAAAAAGTTTCTTCATTGAGTTGAGTTTGGGGTCATAACTGGTGCATCTATTAGAGAAATTATGGTCTCCATTGTTTTTATTTTAAGAATAACAGTTTTAATCAAAATATTAAACATAGTAGTATAGCCTTTATTGTCATTGTACAAAATAAATACAACAAAATTGGTGAATATGATTAAAAGACATTTAATCTTACCAGTTTTTAAACAAAGATTAATATCTACCAGATCTTTTTTTCCATCTCTACTCTGAGAATAAAAGAGGTTCTTTGGTGGAGATAAATGTTACTACAATTGATCATAACAAGGACTATATTTGTAATGGTTGTACTTCTTTACTAGGCATAATATTTATTCCCTGCGTATTGTTGCTTTTAACCAGTGTCCCATGATTTCCCCCTTCGTTTTATTTTTTCATTTTTCTTGTGAGGTAAATTAGGTTGAAAATAAATGACTCTAAGATTACTAGGAAACATCAAGGGAATCTGTATTTCTTGATACCTTCAATATTAACAATATTCACGATAACATTTTTTCATTGCAGAACTGAAAATCTTTGCTTCCACATTGATGTAACCCTCAAAATCTGTTCCTGCAATTGGAATACCTTTTTCTGTGCTCAGCGGCTGAAAGAGTTCTGGACAGTCCTCATAATCACTCTCTTCTGAGCTATTTTCCTCCTCTTCATTATTTTGGAGAATGACTTTCTGCTTTGGGATGCCTTTGTGGTCCAGTTCTATCAAATTGGGCAGAGCTGCCAACACACTCTCTCTAGAAATGAACATTCAAGACTGATGAAGTTGAAAGTAAAAGTTCATCTCTATGCTCTGTTCTTTGGTAATTAATGAAAATAGGAGTCAAGATCTTTTATATTTAATTATTCTTTTTTTTGTTTTGATTTAAATGAAAGTGATAGTATAAGTTACACCATGTTTCTTGAACATTGGCAAAGTGTGGACTTCAACTCCCAGAATTACCCAGCCAATTATTCTGCCTCATTTCCCATGTTCTTAATGGATTCAGAACAGCCTATTCTATGATGTTGCAGTAGCCTTAGCGATGAGGTGCTACCTTCCTGAACTTAATACCATCTATATAGTAGTTTTATGCTGGCTGGGATAAAGGAAGTTCCAAATTCAGCTTGAACGACAAGAAATTAGAAAAGGTTATTATGAATCAGTATGATTTGTCTTCCTGGTTTTACCTGTAGCCTTTTTGATTCATGCATTTATTTCCAGTCAGGTCAAGGATTGCAAGGTTCAGGGGCAGCTCATCTATATAAACCAGAAGGCATAAATAAGGAAGCTGGTGGAAGTGTAAATGAATACAGATTGATACAGAATTTTTTGGAGATGCAGGGGACTGTTTCATGTTTACATGAAGTATGATCAAACTGAAAATGAACTATTATTTTATTAAATTGCTAAATTAATACCTCGCATGTCTGGTTTAATATTACAAGTCAAAATGAAAGACCCAATTTCAACAATAGTGTTCTATAGTATAGGTTCATATAATATTTTCACAACCCATTGAGGAATATAAGTACTGATCAACATTGTTTGATCCAATTTTTCTAGTTGTAGAGCAGTCCTGGGCATTTTACAGCCCCTAAGCAAATTCAGCCCTTTAACTATTCCTGTCCAGCCTATGTGAGATTAGTTGAAAATTAGAAATCAAATGTCAGTTATTGTGCAATATGCACACAAGTGAGCAAAATTCAACCTGTTGGTTCAGCTCTCCACAATAACCTCAGTTTCTCATGTGACCCCCTTGGGAATATTAATTGCCCACCCCTTTAGTAGAGAATATATCTCATAATTCAGATGCTTGATAATTCATGGTTATTGAGAGTCATATTTCCAACATACCAGGAAAACACAAGTTTAGGGATGGCTGGTACAGATGGCAAAGACGAACAGAGGAATAGACATAAGACTAACCTATATCTAAAGTATCAATGCAATTCTGTGAAAGATCCAGAAATTTCAACTTGAGGAGGGGTTGGAGGCTCTCTACTTTGTTGATGTAATTCCCAGATAATGACAGAAACCTGGAAGCATGTGAGAAGGCAAGACACTGAAGTTGTAAAATCCTTAAGATAATATTAAAACACTGCCTTTCTGAAAAATGGAAATATACTGAAACTATGATGCACTAATGGGTAATGATGTCATAAAACATGCAATTTATTTCTCACCACCAGAGAGAGTTATAATCCAACTCTCAAAGCCAAGTGAGTATTTCATTACCTGGCAGGGCTGGGAATCAACTACAGTTTTTTTATTCACATTTCCGAATCCCTCTAATTTTAAAGTTGGTCTAGTTCTCACTGAAGTGGTAAATATATTTCATTCATTTAAAAAATAAGCAAACCAAAATAAGGTATAACCATGTTAGTGTTCTTTACTGAATACTTTTTAATTTAGGGACGATCTCATCTGTAGATGTAATATTATGCACCAGACATAGGCCTTTTATTCTTGACATAAACAAGCCTAGGGAAGAATGAATGGCTTTGGGGCACTTAAACATATTCTATTTCAAGTCGTTACAACACAACCTCTCAGTGATTTAGCTGCAAGTTATTTCTCTAAAACTGTTACACAAAAAAATTGATTACATGATTTAGTTGACAGGAAAAGCAGCTGGGAGTATATATTATATGGAGATAGCTATACTTACATTTATACATGATTATTTATTAAATTTTCATGCTACCCATTTCCCCTGTAGGGTGATTCTGGGTGGTTTACAAATCAAGTAGAAAAATAATTAAAACTACAACTTAAAAATTTAACAACTATAATGAAACCAGAACTAAGAGAAAGACAGGATAGGTTGAGGTCTTACTCTGTCAACTTTCTCCAGCAGTGAGCATTCCCTTTAGGGCCTCAGGTCAACCAGCAACGTCAATTTAATACCTTTCCAGAAAGCCAAAAGGCTGAGAGTGTTCTCGCCTCTTCCACAGAAATAGGTCACAATAGAAAAGACTATTCTTAAACCGCTTGCTGGAATTTCTTAGCAGAAATTAGCTGCTAGCAGGCTTCTTCCATTGGTGCAAGTGAAGCAGGCTAGTCCCATTGGGAGAGATGGCTCCTCAAATATGGACCCATGTCATATAGGGCTTTAAAAATAACCACCATCTTGAATTGGTTCCAGAAGCAAACTGGTAACCAATGCAGCTTGCACAATAATGGTATTATATGTGAGGTATAGAAATTTTCAGGTGCCACTACTTTTGGCACCTGCTGCAAGTTTTTTAAGGATAGTCCCATTAGAGCATGTTGTAGTAATCCAGCTGAGAAATTACTAGGGCATGATTGACCATGCACAGGGCCTCATAATCCAGGTAAGGGAACTGGTACACAATGCAAAATTGTGCAAAGGCCTAGCTATGAATTCTGCCTGCTCTGAGCAGGAGTCATGAGACTACGAAGACCCCCAAATTGTGGTCCAAATCTGTCTGGGGTAGCGTAACCCCATCCAGAGTTAATAATGTGATTTGTTTGAAGAATTTCATCGATTTTTATCATTTGATGTATATATTTTATCATAATTTTATCACAGCCACTTGGACTCAATGCACACTGAATTATTTTATTTCTGTACAAACTAAAGAAGATATTTCCAGCTTCCCTTTTTAATGATTTAAATCATGTAAATTAAAAATATACTTACTTCAAGTTTGGAAAGCAGTTTAAGTTTTCAATTTTCTTTATTTGATTCTAAAAATGAAAATAGCACAAGTCCCAGCATGTTATTAAATGCAGGAAGGGCACTGGGAAAAAATTCACTATATGAATACGTATGTGTGGAATTTGAAAAGGAGTATTTCTTCAAGCTATTAGGTCTCTATGGAGTCCCTGTGACACCTGGGTAGTACTGTTTTATCCATAAAAGCCACAAGGCTGTCACCCCAAACACCTGAAAAATTGTAGTAAGAAAGTTGGACATATAGATCGATTTATGACATCTCTGCTGCCTATTTTTCTGGTGCATTTTTCTGCTCTATCCTTATAAAGCATTGTAAAAAATATTAAGAATGGCGGATTATCTTTATTTTGGAAAGACTACACCCAATCTGCATCCAAGGGAAATATTTTATCCTTCATGGCAATAGATAAATATTGGATTTAGTATTTGCTTTAAAAATAAGATTAGTACTAAACCAAATTCTAATCACTCTGTCAAGATATCTAGATTCCTCTTTTATAAATTCTGCTAAATATTTTTTTCATGTACATCTTCAATAGTTCAACAACAAAGAAAATAGGCAAGACCCTGGGCACAAAAATCATATTAAAACAGTGATCTGTCACTACTACCAAGATATGTGTGTGTGTGTATGTTAGTGATACACTTTCAGATCCTGAAATCTTGAAATCAAATATTTTTAAAACACGCTTCTCTAACCCAATGCTCTAATAGGGATAGACAGTTGCTATCATTCCAAACATTTTTCAAAGGGAGTTGGGATGCAGCTAGTGATACATAGTGGTAGTTAAGATACATGCTTCAAATGACAAGAAAGAAAGAAATATTGCCTTTCAAAGATAGCGGCGTATTCAGTAGCAAAGAATGTGGCAGAGTATGTTACCTGTTGTAAATAGATGCTGTGGACATGTTTGAATTCTGGCAGGTTGGTAATGCAGCTAATTCTTTCTCTATCTAGCCGTAGGACCTGTATAGAAGTCAAGGCTTCAGATCTGGAATTGGAAAGATGTTTTTCAACCACAAACATTATACCTGTTCTCCTTTCCACCATCTTCCCACCTTGCCAAATTATTACCAGCACCTGAAAGAAAGTTTTGTATCAATTTAAACAATAGCTAGAATACTCACATTTTCTCTGGGTCCTCTTTCTTTACTGGTACTGGCATATTCCTCTGGACAATAAGAGATATTGTCAAGCACACTCCTTCAGTAGAGGGTTGTAAATTTGCTGAAAACAAGTAAACAAAGGGTTAAACAAAGCAAACCTTGTTATTGTGAAGGTTCATAGGTAAAGGTAAATGTTCCCCTTGCACATATGTGTTAGTACTTCCTGACTCTAGGAGGCAGTGCTCATCTCTGTTTCAAAGCCGAAAAGCCAGCGCTGTCTGGAGACATCTCTGTGGTCATGTGGCCGGCATTACACAACGCCGAAGGTGCATGGAGTGCTGTTCCCTTCCCACCAAAGGTGGTTCCTATTTTTCTACTTGCATTTTTTACATGCTTTTGTACTGGTAGATTGGCAGAAGCTGGGACAAGTAATGGAAGCTCACTCCGTTACATGATGCTAGGGATTCAAACCACTGAACTGCCAACCTTTCTGATCGACAAGCTCAGTGTCCCGTGTTATACTCAGGTATAAAAATAGTAACCATAAGTTGTTATAAAGGAAAGTATTTCATTTCAGAAAACTGATCTTTAGACTTATTTATTTTCTTGGTTTTGCTCTTAAATTTTCTTTTGTAAAGCAAAGTTACATACAGTTAATTTTTTTATCTTTGCAATTTAAAAAAGAATTTGTTCCCTTTTCAAGTTTATCCCCCCCCCAATAAAATATGGTCACTATAGATTTAAACAATTAGTATGCACATGACTAATTCTAAAATTCTCAATTTTTATTTTCTTAATAAGGCATAGCCTGATTTCTCAATTTCTAATTGGCACACCTTATCTCCCTTGCTTCTCATTCCTTTCTTGCCTAAAGGTGACCCTTTTTCTCCTCTACAATGGTGAAATATTAACTTTTATTTATTTTACTGTTTTATTGGATAGCTGTAGCCACTCTGAGTCATTTTCTGTGAAATGTGTGGCAGTGTGAATTGGATTGATAACTAAATAAACAAACTTTCAATAGTGGTAATTCAGTAGTTCAGTTCTCTAAATTTTCATTAGCTTGAATTTTTACCATATCTTCGAAGTGGAGGACTTACCTTCTGGCATGACTGATCAATCCTCCTGGTGGCCAAAAATGAATATCTGTCGCCTAGAAACGAGACGAGGACGTTTGTCTGAAACAGCTATAGTTTCAGAATCTTCATGAAAACGGTCTACAGCCACTAGAGGGAGGAGACAAGAATTACCATAACAATCCCTTGCATTTACTTAGCAACCAAAGAATACATAGCAGCGTTCAAAAGTCTTTCTATGGTTTCCCCCACCTCCCCAAAAAAGCAACAAACTTAGCCAGAGAGATTCAGTTGCTTATACGGTAGCAGCAGCTTGGAAGGACAATTTGCAAGGATTCTTTGTGGATATCCACCCAAGGACTAGTGGTGTGACCTTGGCAACATCTATAGCAGTATTGCTCAACTGAAGCCACTTTAAAGATGTATGGACTTCAGCTCCCAGAATTCCTCAACCAACCACCCTATGACTGAGGTATTCTGGGAGTTGAAGTCCACACATCTTAAAGTGGCTGAGGTTTTTTTTAAAAAAAACACCGATATAGGGTGAAACGGGCTTATTTTATTTTATTTTTTAAAATAAACAAACTTATAAAACTGAAGTGTGGTACCAGTGCCTCTAGCAATCGTGCCACTAGCAATCGTGTTATGGGTTACCAGATATGGGTTGCCATATCTGCAGAAAGCAAAGAGATGCAGTCTTTCTGTATCTTTCCAGTCATCAAGTAATCAGAGAGGGAGAGAAACTTGAGGAAGGTTTGATCGCGAGACGACGTCTCGAGCCCCCGTTGCTAGGAGACAAGAGTCTTTTTCTTTTCTTTTTCTTTTGAAGGGCTGAGAGAAAAGGGCTCCCTTCCCCTTTAAACCTCCACTCCCGTGATGCTCTATTCTGACACCCACGTTTTTCGGAAATGGCTGCTGTTGGCGGTTGGGGTAAAAGGATCTGTAAAACCGGTAAGGGATAATGAAAAATCGGAGGGCTTTTCCGCCTCCGGAAATTATTATCCGTTGTTGTGGCTTTTAAATCACTTTATCTAGTATGCGATGAATGCTCATCTTCTTCTGTGTAGATCTAGCGGCTAGCGCTACAGCTCTCCCTGTTGAAATTCAGCCTTCTTTGTCGATCTTTCGCCCACATCGCAAAAATCCCGACTTTTTGTACATTTTGGGTTGACACAGTTTTGGCCTATCCAACTATTCATACCTCGGTAAAGCAGAGGGAATGGAATAATAAGGAGCTTTCGACATTGGCTTGTCTCCTGTGTACTCCTGATAGGAGTATTACGTGCAGTATTTTTTTGTGGGGGAGGGTGTGTGAAACATCGAGGGTTTTTTTTTTCCCCAGGCAGGTTTTAATATCGGAAAATACTTAAATAATCACGTAGAAGACATTGTAAAATGTTGTATGGTGCACTAGTTATGGACAAAATATGCAAAATAAAAAAATGTAATTGTAAAAGGTACTTTGAACTTTCTTTTATGATAGTTAATACCTAAGGTAATCAATTGTTCCTTTCAATAAATTATCCATTGATTTATATATTCCAGGCTTTTAATATTTTATCTATATACAAACAATGATTAATTATCTCTTTCCCCTTACTTGTTCTCCAATGATTTCTTTCTTATAAAAAGTATGTGACTAGTTTTTATTTAATTGCCTTACTGAAAATGAAATTTGTGGCAGTCTCAATGGATGGAGGCATTCTGAGCAATTTCCTTGGTATTAGTTGGTTTTTTAAAAGTTTTGTTTTATTCCCACATTTATTTATTTATAAATATTTCTTATATCCTCTTTTCCTCTTTACCTTCTAAGCTAAACAATCTAAATTATATAAATATTGTATAAATATCTGTTTTAGATTTAAGAGAGTTTTTATCATTTTTATGCCTTTTATGTACAGTAGTCCTCAACATACAATACTTTTAGTGACTGTTCAAAGTTACAGTGGCACTGAAAAAAATGACTTATGACCACTTTCGACACTTACGACTTTTGCGTCATTCCCATGGTCACATGATCAAAATTCAGACATTTGTCAACTGACTCATATTTATGACTGTTGCAGTATCCCTGGCTCATGTGATCACCTTTTGTGATCTTCTGACAAGCAAAGTCAACAGGGAAGCCAATTCACTTAACATGTTACTAATTTAACAAGTGCATGTTTCATTTAAAAACTGGCAAAAAAATTGTAAATTGAGGCAAAATTCACTTAACATATTTCACATTTAACAACATAAATTTTGAGCGCAATTGTGATCATAAATTGAGAATTATTTTTTTCTAAGACAATTATATACCTTCAAAGGGAAGAACAAGTTATATATTTAAATTCATGATGGATTTATTTAATAGTGGTATAATGCATGTTATTCTTTGTATAAATAATTCCTGAAAGTTTCCTTTATTATGGATACTTCAGGATAACAGAAGCCAAATCTGGATTTATCTTTTAGATGGATTTTATAGGCAAATTCTAACCAGTACTATTAATCAGTCCAAAATTTAATACCCTTAATACTTACTCATTACTAAGCCTAAATATCTTACAGAAGGCTTCAGTGTGAGGAGTTATGATTTTCAAGAGTATTCTTGATGGCTTTATGATTTAAAATGTTCTTAATTATTTATGTAAATTATCAGTACATTACTGGCATCTTAGTTCTCTGTAATACTACGATCCTTTGATTCTTATGAAATTGTTGATTTGGAATTTGCCTATTTGGAATTTGTAGTCTAATTCTCCTGTTGCTCTATTGGTCTAGGCTGGCTGCCCACCTTGCAGCTTATTCGTCATGGCTCCAAATCTGTCACACGTCACTGGAAACCGATGCACATTATGAGGGAAAAGCTGATGGCAGTGACTGAGTACATCCCACCAAAACCTCTGGATTCAGAGACCTGTATGAAACCCCGTGTCATTCTTTCTACAGAAGTAATAACATTGTTCTATTTTGGGATAATTGGAATGATATAAATACTCATTTTTGATTAAAATTCTTGAAAAGTTTTGCCCTTCATAGTTCTGCCAATTGTGAAAGGGTTCATATCATTTCTGTTCTATAATAGATAGCCGCATTATTCTAATAATGACTTAAGTATTTGATGCTATGTTCCCTCCTGACCTTTGGGAGATAGTTATTTTGTGCTGCTCTTCAACTGTAAAGCAATAAAGAACTTTCCTTCATATCCTTGGTTATGCTCCACTAAAATTAGAAACCAGCTGAACATCTCAATTTTACTTGTATTTTGACTTTGGAAGAAAGACTGAATTTATTTTGCTCAACAACAAAAGCATCTACTTCTCATATTACCATCCAGATAGAAATTCTGCTTTCCTTTCTGATGGAATGACAGTTGAGTTCCTGCTGAATTGAGCAATTTGATTTATATTTGTTTGGTTTAATCTTACATGATTACACAAAGATTGAATTTCCCAACCTCCAAAATAGTAGTAGAATATTCTTGGATATGTTGTTTATTTAATTTTCAAATGGCAATAATCTTAATGGAACTTGTTTAAATCAAGCTTGTGGGCCTTGCTAAGTTTGGACAGAATTTGAAGTAACATACACCTAAGTAGATTGATAGGTTTAATTTAACTGATATTACAGAGAGAAAAAGCTTATTGAGTATAAAATAAAGATTTTAATTTGCTCCTGAAAAAGTATGAATGGTCGTTATAATTAGAGGAACATTTTATTTTATTTTTATTGGAATCCTGCTTTTATTATTTTTACAGAATTTATGTTTCTGAGATCCACTGGTATTTTGTAGCTATGGAATATAATCTTTTAGAATTTTTATTGCCTGTATTTTCAAGATTGCAAATCCATTTTTTCTCTCATGCAGATGACTGACTTTGAAAGACTGTTATTGCGTCAAGTGAAAGAAATATTTCTTGAGAGTAAAATGATTGTTGTGTGCCAATACAATTATATTCCTGGAAATGATATGGTATTATTCAGGCATCGGCTGCGAAAGTATAATATCCATGTCAAATTTTTTCCCAATAAGGTACAGTTTTTTGTAGAGACTTTCAGTAATATAGTATTGTAATAGTGCTGTGTAGTAAAGGTATTTTTCTTCTGCTTCCTTTGATTTTTAAAAATAAAATCTAAATATTTTGCCTTTCCAGAAGGATCAGCCTTAATTTTTAAAGAAGTTTTTATACAAACAATATCCCAAGAGAACTTATTCTCTTCTTTGCCTAATACATTGTTCATGACTTATCAAATGATAATTTAACTGATCAATAGCTAGCAGAGTCAGATTATATGGTTGTACAATTTTATTTTTCAGTTCTTGATGCTTTGTTATTCTTGGTGCCTTTCTCATCTTGACCTAAGTTTTTCTTTTTCTTGAAGTTAGTATTTATTGGTAGCATTGTAAGAGGTCCTATATGCCGTTTATAAGTTTACATGCAAAGGCAGAAGGATTATAGTTTCAGCATATTTTATTTCTGTGAATGAAAAGTAGAGTTTTATAGCTTCATGATACCATTATGAAATTTTATGTGGTAACATTGTTTGATCCAGCATTGATTTGCTTGAGTGGAATAGAGAGAGGCTTTGCTCGTTTCTTCTTTGTTCCTTCAGCTCTCTCCCAATCTCCTCCACAAGTAGAATACTTTAATATAAGAGGAAAACCTATTTGGGGATCTCTGGGGGAAATATGACCCCTTCCCTGTTTTACTGTAAGCTCTGTAATTATGATATTCTTCAATGTAAGGTCAACTCTAATATAATCCTTTTCTCCACTTTTCCAGATCATGATTCCCTTTCTTTCAGAATCGAAGTACAAGAATCTTCTCCCTCTTTTTGTGGAACGCAACCTTCTACTTGTCAGTATGGAAACAAAGGCTCGGGAAGCACTTCAAGTCCTGAAGCGTGTGCCACAAATTAATATGTTAGGTAAGGGATAAGGTCTGCAGATATACTATATGCTTCATTTTTTACTGAGAGGTCTTTAAATGTTTTTTGATTAACAAAAAATTTAGCAATCAATAGAGGGATGGATGTGGATTTTAACTCTCAGAGTTCTCAGCAATGTTTGCAATGTAGGTGTCTGGAAGTATCCAAGATGGAGAAAGTTCCTATGATGGAGTTAGATAACTAACTGGAAAAGAAGCTGTGGAAAAGGCAGATTAGTTAGATACAGTTGAAGTACTTGGAAGAAACATGTTTCACAACTTACTTTATAGCCATAGGATGGGATTTTTTTTTTTAAAAAAATCAGATGGTAGAAGCTGCTTATTTAAAAAAAATCCTCAAAACAAAACATAATCCTGATATAGAAGGGTAGAGATTTTTGAGAAACCTTTTCCTGTGGATCTTAATGACTAAGGGGAAAATAACCTGTTCGCAAGGGACTA